CTTCAAAAATGTATTATTATGAAGTCAGATGTTTTAATAAACTTTCTGTATTGCTTTATAAGCTGCTAGTATCATCAATGATAAGTAAGAACAATTTGAGTGAAGAACTTACCTAGCTAAGACTGATGATATCAATATTATATCAATTGTACAGTTGCCCTTCTGTAAGTTGGCAGAAAAAAAAAAAAAACGTGCATCGACAATTATTTCTGTCATTGCCGAATACTGAATCTGCACTGCGGTGCTGGTCAAGGTGGTTACATTTGATACAGTGTGCTAATATATTATACAAATTGATCTCGCATTATCTGATAATTAGAATAAGAGTTTGCCTTCCAACTATGTAACCATTAATATAAATGGTTATTTATACTATATTAATTTTTATAATTTGACCACACTGTGACCACTCCAGTGCCCTCTATTGGTGGTGTTATTTATTTATTTATCTTGCCTTGCATTACAGTGAAAAAAAAACATGCTTTACCACCTTCAATTATTAGCATAATTTCTCTCTCATTTTTACATTTCAACAATTTACAGTCTATGTTTGTGTTTTAGAGCAAGGTGAGATTAATTACATTTGTTTAAATTATTTTTTTTCTTAACTATGTGCTTATAAAAACTAAGTGTCAATATTTTTTTTTCAAAGTACTCTAAATATGCTACATACATCATAAAATGTGTAGTGTAAAAGGAGTGATGCAAGCATACATGTCTGTCATCTTAAAACCTGTAATAAATGTTATCCTTCATTTGTGAAATCCCCTTGTGCTTCTAATTCCTGTCATTCATAACTTATAGATTTAATACATTTATGTATTTATTAAAGGGAAAATTCAGAGGGGGAGAGTGAAGATGAATGGTGCATCACAGGCCAAATACCAGCCTTTAAGATTTAGAGTTTCATTGGCATGTTATACACTTTGCAATGTTTGTCCATATAAAATCAATTTGGGAGAATGATATATCAACAACTGACATGTCGTTCCACTGAAAGTGCCCACAATAAATTGCCTGATGTTGGTCTAAAGAATTAAATCAAATTTTACTATGATTATTTATGATTCAAATTAGCAAAAATCTCAACCATGATTCATGGCGCACCATTTTACGCAAACAAAATCACTCTCGGTTCCTTCTTGGCTGAAGTTAGCCATAAGTTATTTTGTCATCTGACCGCATGGAAACTGATAAATTGATAAATGGCAGACATGACTGTTTGGATGCATAATCTTTGCTGACGGACCTAAATCGACTCCATCACGTTTGCTACATCTGTTTATCCGTTGCAACTGGCAGCCTGTTTGGTATGTTAATACCTCCCTATTGATCATTCAATTGATCATTGGTTCTTAGGATTAGTGTAGTCGCCATCAAAGCTACTCAAAGCCAGTCTGTGTGTTTCAAAAGGATCCTAACTTTATATGACACGTCAGTCTAGCCTGTTCAGGTACATGTGAGCAATTAATTAAGAGACATGAAAATATGATAGTGATGTTGCAGAACGACAACACAACAATAAAAGTAATATTCATGTTTAATAACAATACCAGATGTTTTTCATTACCAACCATTAGATTAAAAAGGATGCCTTCCTGATGCTTAAAGCCTGAATAAATTATTAAAAAACACGTTTTCTGTTGATGAAAAGCCTGACATCCTGACAACACAAGAAGGACAGCAGGTAGGCTGGCGAACAGCTGGCAGGGGGGTTATGGGTCTCAAGCTGCTGATGGCAAAAGGTGGAGGGCGAACTCAAACAAGACATCGAAATGTCAAATAATCGTGCACACACGGGGTTTCTTTAAACCGATAAAGAGAGCGATGCTTCTGATAAGAGCAAGTTAAGTGACACGCTTCAGGCAGTTGTTCCAGTTTAACTTCCATAAGCGGCTTTAATCATTATTCGAGATGTCATTTTGCTTTAATTACCATGCGTATTAAATTGGATCGTTTTAATCTGATGCCCATTTGGTAGGTTGAACCGTATCGATTTTTCCACCTCTGCAGCATTTGGTTCCTGCCGATTCATATAGACAGAGTTTCAGCGTGAACTTGCGGTTGACGTAGAATTATTTTCTTCCTTGACAGCTCAACTCAAAATCAAAAAACAGGCAGGCCTGTCGATCACGTTGTCACGTAAAGCGCTCCAAAGTCTGTGTGCCGCTCACTCCAGGCTCCGGAGGGAAGGACGGCTTTTGCATACTCCCTGGAATGCATGGTCCGCCGCTCAGAATAGATCACTGGAACCCTGCGCAAGCAGGGAGGAAGTCACACCGATACCCATGAGCGCAATTTTCCCAGCTAATTCTCTCTATTCACTCTCAAGCTGCAAGTTTCCAAAGATTGGTAAAGTTGAAACTCAAAGCTTTGCGATTCCATCCAGAGTATAGTTTTGAAAGAATCGCTCCCAGGAGTAAATCTGAAAATGGCTCCGCGAGTTTTCGCAACAACATAAACTGTCCTAAATATGGGGAGGAGTGACATGTGGGCTCCCGTGTGGAATTGTCTAATCCCAGCACCACGTCCCTGGGTAGCAGAGCTCCATACAAAATGCCAGACATCACTTACTGAGAGCTGGAGCTTATACTGTCTACACTGTTTGGTGCTATTTTGGGTTATACAGGTTCATCAGCGTTCTCTCTCTCCCCAGGACGGTGTGATTCGTTATTGTTGATGGTAAACTGATGATCTAAAAATGCAAGGGAATTTGCAGAACGAGAGACCCGTCGCCCTTATTGCGCATCACGGCTAGTGTCAGTTGCGGTTATTTAGACGTAGATCATCTTTTCATCTTTTATGCACTACTCTGCAATGCACTCCTTAGCCAGTAAGTCCTCTTCATTATGCATTGTCGGATACAGCCTTGGACTGAGTACAGGGCTTATCAGAGTACAGTAGGTGAATAGTAATTGCTTTGTTCTCGCCGACTCAAAAATGGTGCAATCTTCAAAAGCAAACCAAATCATTTTTCACTACTTTCTTCAAAGAACAACGTAGCAGTCTGAAAATATGTGCAGATAGTAAGCTGGCCATTGATCACTGTCATGTAAATACTCTGAGTGGTGCTCGTCTGCCCAACAAACCTTTAATGAGTCCCTACAGTCCAGCCGGAGTGTTCACCGTGAAAAACAGAACATCTTGTGACAGCTGAGACTTGAGCGGCTAAAAAATTGGGGCCTTCAGCTCTCTGTGTGTTTAAAGGAATTAGCCTTTGTGATGAATTTTTGATGTGTGAAGCGAATCTTCAAGGTACACGATCGTGTATCTCTGCTGCGTTCAGCTTTGTTTTTAAACAAACATCCTTTTGGCACATACAAATTACACATTAATGACTTGATGAATGGGGAGTCATTGTTAACAGTATTTCCAGGATATCCCATTTCAAAAACATTATTCCGTGAGCTGTAATTTTTCTTTGTCACTCTAGTAACGTGCTATATTTGAGTAATTCATTTGCTGAAGCTTTATTGGATACTCCTACTCCTAAAAAAACGTTTAACTTTTATTAATGATCTAGTTGTATATTATTACAATCCCTTTGATTTAAAAGAAAGTCAAACTCTTTTAGTTTGGAGTTATTGATGTGGTTAAGGTGAAGGGCACTACATTTAAACAGCAATAGCACTGTGCGGACAATTCTGTAAACTAACAAAACCCAGAGTCTGGAAGTGTTAGGCATCTCCCCCACCAGTTCTCTGTGACCTAGTTGAGTTGTTGGCACATTGTGAAAGCCTCAGCCCTCTGGCTACTTTTATTTATATAATGCCCTGACAGGATTTGTGTGGCCATCAAGCAAGTTGGCAACAAACACTGAAATGCTGATTCATAAATCATGTCTTGGTGCTTTTGAATTATGGCTTTGTCCTATTCTTCTGATGGATATTGACAGTCATTTGGGACTCATGTCTTTATTCTTGAACTTTAAATCATAAAACTCTTACTTGCACTACAGTTACATCTTGGCTGCTCAGAATATCAACATACTGTAATCTGATATCATGCATTGTAGCTCTGTTGAGTGTTGCCAGTGGCATACAAGAGTCCATTATGTGCAGTATGAAATCTGGAGAGCCTCTCTAATGCAGTTGTATGTTGTATTTGGTAGCATTTGACAATTTAAACAATGAATCATCTTGTTAAAACAGTGTCTTTTTCCTTTTGTGTATAAAAAAAAGAAAAAAAAAAAAAAAAAGTGGTAGATCACCCAGCAATGTAAACGGTGTCATTTACTCAACCTCATGTTGTTCCAAACCTGTACGACTTTCTTTCTTTCTTTGGAACACAAAAGAAGAGAAAAATCTCTTTTTACCCCATTGGCAAACAGTGTTTTCCCCTCTCATTTTCACAAAAACCTCACTAGTTTGAGATTTCAATGAAAACAAGGATCTTTTGTCTTGTTCTGTCTTGTTTTGAGATGTTTATATATTTTTACTTGAAAGACAAAGATACTAAAGGATTTCTTTGCAATTTGAGGCGGAAAAAGTAGTCCATATGCACTATACTCCCCACTTGGGAATTGTTCACTACTACGTCTGGTAGTAGTCTAGTAGACTGATTTGGTGAGTTGACTCACAGTGAGAACTTGAGCACCGAACCAGTCCAGTGGCTCAGTTTTGTGATTCATTTGAAAAGATCCAACTCAAGATAATTTGTTCACATTGCTACTCCCATGCACATCGATAGACTTAAAACCTCAGTCTCCATTATTGTAATTGCATGGAAGAAGAGCAACCAGCACTTTTTTTCTTCTTCAGATTTTCCCTTTTGTGTGTGTGTTCTCTTTCCTTTGCACAGAAGGAAGTCATACAGGTTTGAGAGTGAACAGAATTGTTATATTGGGCTAACTAATCTCTTTAATCTATAAAATAATCTAAAATGCTCCCCCAAAGAGTTAATGTTTAAAAGGATCAAGAAGCTATTTGTATCAGAACTGTGTTCCATACAGTAGTTGTGAATATGACCATCTTTCTTTTTTCCCACTTATCTTCCTCTAGCAGACCTTGCAGATCTTTGAAGAGAGTGCAGCACCTATTCTGAGTATGGACTTGGCAAGTGAGGCCCATGTTCTGGTGGTTTTACTCACCTGCCTGTTCTTGATGTGCCGGGCTCAAGAGAAGGACTACACCGTAAAAGAGGAGCAGCCGGAGAATGTGCGCATCGGAAACCTGCACAAAGACCTAAACTTGAACCTAGATCCAGACATTAAACTGTCTTCTGCGCTGCAGTTTAAACCTGTCTACAAGACGGGTGATGTGCCTTTGGTCAAGGTAGAAGCAAGCACGGGAGAGATTTTCACCACAGCCAACCGCATCGACCGTGAGAAACTCTGTTCCGGAGTCTTCACCGAGAAGCGCTGCTTTTACGAGATCGAGGTCGCCGTGCTACCTGACGAGATTTTCCGACTGGTCAAGATCCGCTTCCTCATCGAAGACATCAATGACAACGCCCCGCTCTTTCAGTCGACGGTTATCAACATCTCCATTCCAGAAAACACAGCCATCAACAGCCGCTACCCTGTCCCTTCCGCATTTGACCCTGATACAGGGATCAATGGGATTCAACACTACGAGCTTGTCAAGGTGAGTTCAACATTCAGCTGTGATTTATTACGTGACACCGCCATTTAATGGGCCCTTAATGTCCAGAATAAAAATAGCACAGTAAGCAATAAAAAAAAATTGTTTTTGGCTCAAGGTTTTAAAAGTAATTTCCTCTGTTTTGTGTAAGGTAAGTTGTTAATTGCACCAAGATAGATATGAACAATGGGGAGAATGGTTCTTTCTTCTAATTGATGTCTTCTGAGAAACTAGCGTAATATTCTCAGCGGCTTAATATAGTCCGCTCAAACTGAAAAGTAGGATAATGGTATGCATGCTATTAAAATATATACAGTAGCAGATACGTTGCATGTGTATTTAATTTAGCATTTTATACAGTGTCAGAAGGCCCATTAACCCCAGAAGTGGTAAAAAGTCACTATGCACACTCGCATGCATCTGGGCTGTCAGTCACAGTGCGGAAGATTACGACATAGCGTAGTTCAATGAATGAACTAGTATTCCCCAGAAAGGTCGTCCTGTATTTTAATTAAAATTCAAATACAGTGTGAAATTCAAATACAGTGTGAAACAAAGAGCCCAAGACTGTCATTAAAGTGAAAGAGTAATTTGTACCTTTTCTTTTGAGAATTAGCCGAATCCTTGCTTTTCATGTCTGATTAAGTTACCAATTTGCATTTTTAAAGAGTCTCTTGCTCTCTCTCTCTCTCTCTCTCTCTCTCTCTCTCTCTCTCTCTCTCTCTCTCTCTCTCTCTCTCTCTCTCTCTCTCTCTCTCTCTCTCTCTCTCTCTCTCTCTCTCTCTCTCTCTCTCTCTGCCAAGCTGCTGCGGCTCTCTCGATTGCCTTTGCTTGGAAAATGACCAGTGCGTTTCCTCATACAATTACAATAAATATGTAAAGGCTCTGTTGCCTTTCAGATGATTTCATTTGCTCTTCGTCTGCAAGTGTAGTGTCTCTTTATATGAATCATGCATGCGAGTTTGGTGAGGCTTGATCTAAGTAAACAGAAATGGAAAGGGAGGATATGTTTCATCCTCTGAGGTTGTTGAAAGCATCCCACGAGCAGCATCTGGCCGTGAATCCACCTCTTGGACTGCGTTTGCATGGTCCTGTGAGAGTTCGAATCTCTGAAGCTCCCACACGGTAATGGTTTAGACCAGCTCACTGTCAGCATGGAGCTGCACGATTAGCATTGTGGGCCACAGCTGCTGCGTGCATAGCTTTGAAAGAGCTCCGATAGCAATCCCTCTTCTGCTCTTTACTCATTCCAGTCATGTCCCCTAAGGAGCAAGCCCTCGCTTATGACACAGAGGGCCGTTATTGCCTACCCCGGTTTTAATTGCAGTGCCATATTAATTGTTCCATCAGCATTAGTGTTGCCATGTCACCTGGAACGATGCACAGAAGCACCCCTGGACACTATCAAGGTCAGCTTACAGAAAGTAATACCATGCATGGCTGGAGGAATGCTTTCCATTAGAAGAGATTTTATCACTTAAAGAGAACCTCTTTACAAGTCCTATCTGGAGGCATGTGGATCAGATCAGGCTCATGGGATGAGGATATTGACTTTTCTGTTGTGGGTTCCACCCAACTCATTGTTATTTTTAACCTGCCGTTTAAGCACTCTAACCTCACATTAAGAAAGCCATTTCTCTCGTTTTGAAGCCGTTTGTGTGTTTTTAATCACCCGGGACCGCCGGCATTGTCGTTTTATTTCTGCGCCACATTTTAGATCTTTCGAAAGGACTTTCATTGCAGCAAAGTCTCCGTTGGATTGCTTATTTGGGGGAGTCAAGGTCAGCATTAAAGTTGTTACCATTTCATTTCAATAATTCATGAGTATTTTGGTTTTCATCTGTGTCTGATTCCGATTTGAAACTAGCTCAGCTTAAATAATTTATCCAAAGTGTGATTTTATTTTATTTTTTAAGCTCTCACTTCTCACTTCTCCAGTTATTTCACTTCAAGACAATGAGAAGAGCCAGTCGAATGATGCATTAATGATCAAGGGCTGACAAGTAACATGTCATAAAGAGTTTCCATGAATATTGCACCACAAAGGCTTGTGAATGATTCTCGAGAAAGATATCATCGTCTTAGAACAAAGTAATTGTTGTGCCTGAAGTTGAGCTAAGGGTTCTGACACTTCTCACAAAAGGTTTGTTTCCCAGGAAACGCTTGCAGTATATAAAGTAAATAATATTAATTAGAACAATTGGCTTATGAGATTATAGATGCTCATTAAACCAAACATTTTGGAATGTCACTCCCTTGAGGATCAGTCTGAGTAAAAGTGCATTCAGTTTAAGGATGAGTGGATAAGGTGAAACTGATTTCTGCTACTGTTCTGGACAATAGTGGATGCTGGGGAAATGTTAGGAGATTCTAATCACATTACTACCTGTCAGTTGGTTCCAGGTTTCATTTGTGCCTAATTTCTGGCAGATTGTTCAGCCAAAGTTTCACCAAGGAGACCACGCTTGTGTTTCCGTCACAGGGAAATGGCTTAGATCTGATTATAGTTGGTAGTGAAAAAAAAAAAAAAACATTTTCAGGTGACAACATTTACAGACAATTTAGTGTAAGTGAAATATTTATGGCTTTATATGTTGTATTAAATGTATTTAACACTTTATACAGTGTTTCGACACAATACAATGGCGCAGGGGTCTAAAATATTCAGTTTCTCGGTTGTTGATACTGAGTTCATTCTGAGTCGTTGCTGTAGAAGGTCATCTCATTGATTCATACAGCAGATACTTCAGCCAGTCTGCAAAGCTGAGAGAAACTCTGGGGTTGAACTATGCAAAATGAAGCCCACTGATACTTAATATTCTACTGTTAAGATACAGCTCTCTTTGGGTTATTTATAACCGACATTCGCTTTTGCATATATTTCTTGATTGCACCAGACAATTGGGTTCAGTTTAAGCAAGTTTTTTTGGCTTCGTCTTACACCTAGTATCATCCCCTGTCAGTCTTAACTTGAACAAAAGAGATCCATCCTATGTGTCTCTCATAATGCTCTGTGGGTCAGTTGGTATGAATATGTAGATTCTTATGCACTACCTGTATTAATTTCAGACATTTGTCACTTCCCTTGGGCCTGTGATTCATGTTCTTTTTACTCTACCTGAGTCTTTCTGAAGATAATCAGAATTCCCCAGCCTCATTTTCTATGGGCCTGGCTTGTATAATTATGATTGATCTCCTCATTGCAAGGCATTTTTAAACCAGACTCATTAACTAATCCATGTTTTAGCTCCCTGTATAAATCTGAAACAATCATAGATAACTAGTGAAAAAAAGCCCTTATGGTCACCGTGCATGCATTTGTAACTGACAAATTGTAACCCACATTTGTCATAACCAAAAGTACAAGAAACAGATTTTTGTGCTGATTTTTACATTAACTACATCTTCATGGCAATCAATTTTTGTTGAATTGTGTTGACTGTATAATAAAGAAAAAAGCTGTTCTGCATGTGCTAATATATGTAGGCATCCAAATTGTTCCTTTAATAACTTTTGTGTTTTAATGCTAATTATGTACTTTGATGTGTTTTGATGTGTGTGTTATTTACATGTGTTGGTAGTACTGACAGTAGACCACAGATGGTCACAAAATTGTGCCAAGATCCACCAAAGGGGAATGCTACATGATTTTAGCATGTAAAAAGCTTACTTTGTCAACCCAAATGATAAATTGTCATTTGCCATTGTAGTTAATTTGTGGCTGCATGCAGTGTGCCCATAGAAAGTGGATTGTTAGTACCAGACTAAATGATTCAAGATCACCCATAGCATGGGAAATGCATATATGTATCGTAATCACATTTGAAATATGTACCTTGACAGAGTAATCTTCCCCAGCTTTATGTGAAGCAGGAAGCTTATCTCTTAAGGAAGTTGCCTTTTCTTGTTCTAGCATGAAATGTTTTTTGACTGAAAGAGCTTCAAAGAGTCTCTTTGTTTCACAAATGTGCTTGACTCTCATTCAGGCGCTGTTCCCCTGTCTCCCTCGCTCGCCAACCACGGAATATAGAATACGCGTGATGTTTTGTCGTACCATGTAGCCTGATCTGTAATCAGAAATATTAGGGCTAGTTTCGGTAGGAAGGCAATTATTTTAAACAGTCGAAGCTGGATTCTCAGGGGGATTACACTTGCATTTGTTTTCATTTTCCTCAGGCTTTGCTGTTGCCTAGATTTAGCTCCTTACTGGGAGAAAAGCTTTTTTAAATGTTCAGGTTCTTCCCTTTTCTTTAGTCTGTGGTGGTCTTGCAGTATATTTAAAATGGAAACATCTCTTTGACTCCTTTTCAGCTTCTTTCTTCACATATGAACTTGAAACTGCACAAGCTGTCTTCCATACACTAAATCAGAGTCTTGCTAGTTGGGTAAAACAATAAGTTGTGTGCAGCAAAGCAGAATACACCAGAGGATAGGGCTAGAACTCACTGTTTTATTATTATATTGCTATGAGATGCAGTGTGGCTTTGTTACTTGTATTGGTTGGTAGAAAATGTTGCTTCTGAATGTTAAATCTGCAATTTTCTGTCAGACAGGCAAATGGTTTTTACATTTTTAAGAAAATGTAAACGAAGCACGCTTATTAAGGAGTCTGCAAAGGTCAGGGAAGAAAAAAAAATTATTTAATGAGGGTCAATAAAAGGCTTGCTGTAATATTTCAGACAGGAATATGTGCATTGATTTATGCTTACCCAAGTAAATATGGAATGACACAAGGTAATTTCCTCTCCCAACAAATAATTTTTGATTGTTTACCACATCTTAGTCTTATTTACTTTGGGGGGAGAAACTGTGCTCAGTGCATCATTTATGGCACATATTTTAGTTTTCAGGTGCTAGATGGAACTGTTTACTGTGTGGGGATTCAGTGTTTGCTTTATAGGATCATATCCCCAGGACGGGCTTTTCAAGTAAATATTTTGAAGACCTTGTGCATTTTCTCATAGGATTAAAGAACTTTAACCTCAAGGTTTAATGCTGGAGCTAAAGCCAACATCCGTTGAAAGCCAGAATAAATGACTGGCTCAAACACATTAGTATTTGTATGTTTTTTTTACTTCTGTGAGTTCTGTCTGAGAGATTATCATAACACACATTCCCACATACATTAAAAGTAAGAAGTTCTAGTAATTGGCACAATAATAACAACAACAACAATATTAGTAATAACTGAAACAACAAGAAAAATGCACCATGCATGGGATTTTTAGTTCAAGTATAAACATCAAGTGGAGGTGTCCTCTAACTGGCATTTTGTTCAACACTTTAAAGATGTACTTTTCTTGGTCAAATATACTGCAAACCATTTACAAGACTGCTATTTTTTTATTTTCCAGAGTGTGAGCGAATTTGGCCTGGACATCATCGAGACGCCTGAAGGAGACAAATGGCCCCAACTCATAGTCCAGCACAGCCTCGATCGGGAGACGAAGGACACCTTTGTGATGAAAATTAAAGTAGAGGATGGTGGCACCCCTCCAAAGTCCAGCACAGCCATTCTGCAGGTCACCGTCTCAGATGTGAATGACAATCGGCCGGTGTTCAAGGACAGCGAGGTGGAGGTAAACGTTCCTGAGAATGCCCCAATGGGAACATCTGTCACACACCTTCATGCCACAGATGCTGATCTGGGATCCAATGCTCAGATTCACTTCTCCTTCAGCAACCAAATTTCCCCTGCCACCAAACGACATTTTGCTATTGACAGCACAACTGGACTGATTACCGTCAAGCAGCCATTGGACAGGGAAGTCAACCCGGTGCACAAGCTTATAGTGCTGGCCAGTGACGGAAGCTCTATCCCTTCAAGGGCTACAGTGACAGTCAATGTTACAGACATTAATGACAACGTCCCCTCCATTGATACCCGTTATATAATGAATCTCGTTAATGGCACTGTGCTGTTGTCTGAAAATGCCCCCCTTAACACAAAAATAGCCCTAATTACTGTGACTGACAAAGATGCGGATCTGAACGGTAAAGTTACTTGTTACACTGATCATGATGTACCTTTCCGACTGAAGCCGGTCTTCAATGACCAGTTTTTGCTCGAAACCGCCGCACCCTTAGATTACGAGACCACTCGAGAGTATGCAATTAGGATAGTTGGATCTGACTCTGGGAAACCACCTCTGAACACTTCGGCAATGGTCCTGATTAAAATAAAGGATGAGAATGACAACGTCCCAGTTTTCCCTCAGCCTGAAATCCAGCTGTCCATTCCAGAAAACAATGACCCGGGCACACAGTTGATAAAAATCAGTGCAACAGATGCAGATAGTGGTTCTAATGCCTTTATTATTTATAGTCTTGGCCAAGATGCTCCTGATGGGTTTAACATAGATCCCCGTTCTGGAATCCTTTCCGTTGTCAAAAGGCTGGATAGAGAGAAGCAGGAGAAGTATTCATTCACAGTCATTGCCAGGGATAATGGTTCTACCCCTCTCCAAAGCAACATCACCGTCAAGCTAATAGTCCAAGACCAAAATGACAACAGTCCAGCCTTTACCCATCCTGAGTACAACTTCTATGTGCCTGAGAACCTGCCTTTGTATGGGACGGTGGGTTTGATTACTGTCACGGATGCAGATGCTGGTGACAATGCAGTCGTCACTCTCTCGATCATAAATGGGAAGGACAATTTCATCATCGACCCCAAAACCGGGGTAATCAAACCAAACATTACCTTTGACAGGGAGCAACAAAGTTCCTACACGTTTGTTGTCAAGGCTGTGGACGCAGGTCAAATGCAAACCACCTCCTATGCCAAGGTCACCATAAATGTTGTTGATGTGAATGACAATCGACCGGTGTTTGTCATCCCCTCCTCAAACTACTCCTATGATCTAGTACCTTCAACCACCAGCCCTGGTTCAGTGGTGACCAGAGTATTTGCCATTGACAATGACACTGGGATGAACGCTGAGCTGCAGTATAGTATTATTGGAGGGTCACTGAGAGGACTGTTTGCCATTGACAAAACGACAGGCAACATTACTCTGCAGGAGAAGATTGTAGCAGCAGACCAAGGACTTCATAGGCTAGTTGTAAAGGTCAAGGACTTGGGACAGCCTGAGTCCTTACACGCAATCGCCCTTGTTCATTTGTTTGTGAATGATACCGTCTCCAATGCCACATTCATCCAGGAACAACTTCGCAAGAGTTTGGAGACTCCTTTGGAACGGAACATTGGGGACAACGAGGTGACACCCCAGACCAATGGCTACGTAATTGTTGTTATTGCCATAATAGCTGGGACTATGACGGTTATCCTGGTGATCTTTGTGACTGCTTTGGTACGCTGCCGACAGACACCGAGACACAAAGTTGTCCAGAAGAGCAAGCAGAGCGGCGAGTGGGTATCACCCAACCAGGAGGGTCGGCAGATTAAAAAGAAAAAGAAGAAGAAGAAGAGATCCCCAAAAAGTTTGCTGCTGAATTTCGTAACCATTGAGGAACCCAAGAACGATGACCCTACTCATGAGCACATCAATGGCACCTTAGACCTCCCTGTTGAACTTGAGGAGCAGACAATGGGAAAGTACAACTGGGCTACCACACCGACTACCTTCAAACCCAACAGTCCTGACTTAGCCAAGCACTACAAATCCGCTTCCCCTCAGCCAACATTCCAGATCAAACCAGAGACCCCTGTGGCTCCCAAGAAGCATCATGTCATTCAGGAACTCCCACTGGACAACACATTCGTGGTGGGCTGTGACTCACTCTCCAAATGTTCCTCCAGCAGCTCCGACCCCTACAGCGTTTCAGAGTGCAGCTGTCAAGGAGGCTTCAAGGCACCTGGACAAATCCACACCAGACAGGTAATTCACAACTTCCTTTCTTAAACCACTCGCTGCTCCAGCTCCCATTTGTACTGTCCTTCTGATAGAAAGATGTAGAATGGATGGTGACAGCTGCATGTGCTGAGCTTCAACATGGGCTCAAAGATGCATGCATGTCAAGATGCAATATGCAAATGAAAATCTGAAACTTCAAAAGTGGGAGGTTGTTGGTTTTATGGTTGTGTGCTCATATTAGCAAAAACAGCATTTCACGTCTTCACTGAAGATGACTGTACGAAAATGGCACAATTAATCAACTGAAGGAACATTGTACATATTAGGAAGACTGTGACAGATAGCGGGATGTTGGATGGCTTTGATTATGGGATGTTTTTTTTTTCTTTTTCCAATCAGACGTTCAATTCTAAAGAGTAATTATTAGCAAAACAAATTTTTGTGTGTAGAAAAAACAAGAGTGCTAGCTTGAGATTACAGCTATGTTTGTTCTTGATTGACATGCCAAAACCAAGCACGCTTGACAGAAAACCAAACAAGATAGGGTTGCGTTCCACAAGCACAACTGAACAGATGCACACTGCTGAAACAATTGCTTCCCACAGAAATGCTTGATAGAACTCATTAGAGCTAAAACTTGTAACATAGCAGGGAAAGGCTGATTATTTTTAAATAGAATTTCGAACTCTGTCCAAAGGAAACATTATAAGTTGTCTCTGAGGAAAATTGCCGGCATTAATGAGACGAAGGTTCATTTGAATACTAGTATTCTAGTCTGTGCTTCCAGAGAAGATGTGCCAAATGCAAAATAGCTAAAAAATAAAAGCAGGTGAGGGACATAAATGTAAATTGTGGTGGAGAGAGAGGTGACCTTGCTGCGGCGACTGGTCTTTCTCGCGGAGTGGAAGACTGAGCTGTGCGATTGTAAGTCAGAGAGATCAAGGTGAAGACAGAGCTGTGGGACCGTGAGACTTAAATAGAAGCATATTCACTAACTTAATCACATTGACCCCTTCTTTGAGCAGTTCAAAACCTATTACAGGGCAGGTTTCGACCGGATCTTTATATGATTTCTTTCGTTCTTTCTTTCTTTTTTCTTGCAGAAAGAAACTTATAACTCTTCAGGTTTTAAATATATTGAGTGTAACTTTGAATGCCTTAGTCGTATGTTATTTCTGTACATCTTAAAGGTATCCTGTATGTTTTGACGGGTATAGACTATTGAAATAATCTATTAGAAAGAAGTTAGACAGTGTTGATTCATCTCCGATTCTGAAGTAAAGTGCTCTTTATGTTGTATCTTACCATTCCATACTTTCGGTAAAGCTCATTTTTCCTTTCATATATTAGCTATTGTCTATAATATTTCTTCTTACTTAGTCATTTTAAACCACAACTTGGATATCAGCTCAGAGCCATTACTGACAAATAGACAGTGGATATTGCAGAAGAGAATCTAGAATATCAGATCATGTCTTGTACCCGCTGGCCCCATATTTGGTGAAAAATCTCTAGTGTCTCGTGTTAGCTATAAAGCAGTGACACAAATGTCAGCATTATTTAACTTTAGCGACCCCATCTCGATGTCTGAGAAACATCATGTCTGAATTTGCCATGATGAATAGGTGCAAGAACATTTGTAGGGACCATTAAAGGATGCATTTCTCCCAGGAAACATTTGCTGATGAAGGTCAATGGGATGCTTAGCAGGGCTGGGAATGATGTCAGCATCAAAGAAAAGCTCGTCAAAATACAACATATTTATGGGCCATATGGCTCATAATACTATCAGTGGTCCATTTTGCATTCCGAGCACCACCACGAACCTCTTTCCCACCCCTTTCACTCATCTCTGCCTTTCTTTTATCTTTCGTCTCCCTGTTCTCAGACAGTGATTTTAGAGGTCAATCCCTCCGGTGGTGGTGGCGGGGGGGCTTCTGTCTGAATACACACTTTAGTTGTGGCAGATCAAGTAAATTCCGCCGTACTTGACTGATCCCTGGCAAGGCCATGAATATGCAAGAACTCTAGTCAAATCAAACGCTATAAGGCCTATATATTCAGAGCAGGGGTGTATTTGAGGTCAGTAGCTTCGCCATTCTAACCTCATGTTACTTGCAAACCCATCCCCATTTGGATTGGTATGAATATGCCCTCACAGTCTTATGGGGTCTCACAGTCAAACACATTTTCTTTGCATCAGGCTTCATGGTACATTCAGCATTTCAAAAACATCATAAGATATGGAAGAGGATGTCCTTGAATCCACAGTTTGTGCTCTCAACCACCTGCGTTTCAATAATTCAAATTCTACTTCATTTTTGAATCTCGCCGGGTCTAGGGCAGATGTGCCTTTATTTCCAACTAAACACATTTTTTTAGAACATGAAGTGATTGATCTCTCTTGAATTTCTCTCTTTGTATTGATTACCTCCAGTTGTGTCAAACTCCAGGCGATTTCTGCAGCGTTTAGCCCATCAGCAATTCTTGTGCATCTTGGCCTTTAGTAATATATTCTGCATGTTTGTTTAAAATTCACAAGCTTTAAATTTGTGTATGCCTTTTTTAACCGTCTGATTTTCCCACAGATAATCCTAAGTAAAATTAAATGTTGCCATTAATAGTACTACCTAGAGGTGCAGCCATAATTGCTTTGCTTTCTAGTTTAATATTTTGGTTATTACATCACCGTTGTGAAACATGTTACACTCTGAATCTTTTACATATATGTACAGTATATATATATGTGTGTGTGTGTGTGTGTGTGTGCGTCACACACATATTTTTTTAAGTCGTGTACAGTGTATATATATATATCAGCTTTTTTTTCTTTCGGTGTGATGCAGTTGTTTCAGCATGCGTTTATGAGTTGAAACAACAGTTACTAGTTACTAGTTCATTCAACTTTCAATTAGTTATGTCTACAAAAAAAAAGTTCAAAATTATCTTTTAGCAAAGACGTGCTAAATTTATTATAAGTGGCAGTACATTTATATATGTTACAATCCTAAAACACATGAGGTTAAGAAATACATGTTGGTGCTTTTGCATTTTTGAAGTTGGAACAGCAGTTTTTTTTTTTTTTT